GTCACTAAGTAATTGAGGAAGCCCTAATGGTACGTGTCCACTGGTGCGGAAGAAATGCCTGCACAGATCTGCCACCATAGAATGTACTGGAAAATTGAAGGTAGAAACCGTAGTAGAATAATAAAGTAAGTTCCCACCATCTGTTTCTGTTTCCTTGTGACCAGAGATGGTAGGCAACTAATCTAAATGCTTACACTTTACTTTGTAAAAACTGCAGTTTTATGATAGCTGTTATTACACAGTCCTTGTCTTCTCGCAGTTTGGTAAAGGAGCGATTGCTGCCGGAGAAACTGAAGTCATTTAGACTTGTTAAAACCAGAATCTAGTTAAGAAAAATAGTTTTTGGTTAGTAAAAACATTACTTAAAATGGTGACACCCACAATGTAAATATTTGGACTCTTTCAACAGTAGATATAACAAAAGTATATCATTGTATTCTGTTTTCTCAATATTTACACAAATTGTATATTTTCTGCATTTGTGCCACTTGAAACTTACTTGTTAACATAAGAAAAAAAAAATTCATTGACTTTTCCTCCTAAGAGTTCCCACCATGAAGCCCACCCCTACAGTTTTTCCTCCTCTGCCGGTCCTATGCTTCCTCCTACCTCCCCCCACTGGTTTTGTCTAGTTCCCTGGCTTCAACCACATTCTGCTAATCCGCTAATCCACTGACTCTCATCGGCTCTCTAGCTCCACAGGCGTGATCAACAGTGGTCTTTGGATTGGTGGCCTCAGAGTTTCGACCCACCTCACCCTTCCGAGTCTATGACTCCACCTCAACTCTTTAATCGTTTGGCTCCACTCTGGTCTGCCTTCCTTCTGGCTCTGCCATGCTCCCCGTCCCTCCAGCTCTGCATTGGTCTGTAGTCCCCCTAGCTTCACTACCGACTTTGATTGTGCTTGGGCTTCACCAGGGTCCTCCATCCCTCCAGCTACACCATTGTCTTCACTCCCAACGGCTCCACCTTGGCCTTCTAAGCCCCTAGTTCCACCTTGGTCATCTGATCATCTTGATCCAAATTGTTCTCTACTACGTCTGGCTCCGCCTCAGTCTTCCCATCCACCAGCTCCAACATGGTCAATGGTCCCATCCACCAGCTCCCTCTGCCATGGTTGCTTTCTCTGCTGCTCCTCCCCTGGGGGTCCCCTCTTTCGCTGACATCACTGCCGGGAATCCAGAGGTATCCTGTCCCTCTTAAAATCCTGCAGTTATAGATCACTTTCTGTACTCTATTCCCGGACTCAATGTTTCAATAGAGAGCCACAGAGAGTCACAACCACTATATCACTATAGTGCGATGTTGAATCACTATAGTGGGATGTTAGAACCAACACAGACCACAGGGTGAGCATCCGGCCTTACCAACACCTCTTCCAGCAACAACCTAGATTTCTCAGGTCATCTCACATCCAGGTAATGACGAGACTCAACCCTGCTTTGCTTCAGTGGGCAACCAGTCTTGGGGTGGTCCGTCGGTCAATTGGTAGGTAGGGGTTGGTTGGGCAGTAGGCAGGTTCGTTTTTTGGGCTTCTAAACCCACATATAAATTTACTATTAAATAAAACAACAATTTTCTGGCCGTAATGTAGGGCTAATTTGTTCCCAGTTTTTAGATAGTGTTTTTTGTGCCTTTTGTAACAGCTTTGCCTTTTACACAGAAAAAACTGTTACTGTACAGTCTACTGTTCTTGATGTTCACTTTCAAATGAAGGAGAATAGCCACTAGTTAACAAAGGTTAGTCAGCATTTTTGAAAGTGGCTCCTCTATGTTATAAGAGAAGGTTAGGATGTCGGTTCCTTGAAACAGTGCTGCTGGTGACATCTCTGCTGGTGCTTACAGATAAGTTTCTCTATTGATTTTGTCTGCAGATCACCGATCTCACTGATTATGCAGCACTGATGTTGGGTCGATAAGGTGAATGTGTGTCAAAGCAAATAGATTGACAATTTTAATGCACAAAATATTGTAAGATCTTTTCTTATGAGAGATCCACAAGAGGGGCAGTTTTCCATGACCTGCTTCCCACATGAGGGATGATGATTTTTTAATGCCCAGGGGCTCTGGCGGACGCCATCCAAGAACTCCCACACAGGTAATTGCTTCCATTCCTTCTCCTCGAAGGACTGTATTTACTTGCAGAATCCCATTCCCAGCATCCTTTTACAGGATGGACTTAAAAATCTACAATATGTGTTATTGCCAACGTAGACAGAATGGTTCACAGGTGACTGTGTACCAGAGTAAATATACAGTTTTATTCCCTGTAGCACATTCCAGAGAGGTTGAGACTTCAGAGGTTTGAATTTTTTTCAGGCAACTTGAAAACCAGACATTCTCTTCCAACTTATATATTATATATAAATTGAAATAATAAAATGCACTATTTAGATTTTTTATGGAATATTGCTGTTCATTTTAAATGATTTATCCATCCATCCATTGTTTATGTATGCATGTATGAATGTATTTATTCATTCATTCATCCATTCATAATGTGCCCTCATACTCTGGGTTTGATGGGGAACATCAAAATAACTTCCCCATCCCTCTTGCAGTATCTCTTCTCCGATGACATGTTGGAGGGACAAACTGTGAATCACATTAGATCAACCAATAGCTGAAATGGAAACAGCCATTCCAAAGTTAAGTTTAGTAGAGTCATTGCACCTCAACAATCGAGAGGAGCCAGCTGAGGTGGCTCGGGCAACTTTTTCCGGATGCCTCAAACCTTCCAGGCATGTCCCACCAGGAGGAGACCCCGGGGAAGACCTAGGCCCTGGAGAAGTTAAGTCTCCCAGGTAGCCTGGGACCGCTTCTTTATTCCCCCGGAATTGCTGGAGGAAGTGTCCAGGGAGAGGGAAGTCTGGGCGTCTCTCCTTAAACAGCTGCCCCCTTGACCCAGCCTCGGATAAGCGGAAGAAGATGGATGGATGTCTGGGTTACAACATGAGAAAGGAACAGAGAAACAGAACACTCCTGCAGTTTGATCCTTATTTAGTTTCAAATCAAAACATGATGCTACACATAACAGAGACCATAGACACACGAAAGATAAGTATGCACACAAGTGGCCTTGGTTCATCTATAGTCTAACCTGCTTAAAGTAAACACAAGTAAACTTGTCTGATTTTAAAGGATTAGTTCACTTTTGAAAAACTTTTGCTGATAATTTACTCACCCCATGTCATCCAAGATGTCCATGTCTTTCTTTCCTCAGTCGAAAAGAAATTTAGGTTTTTGATGAAAACATTCCAGGATTTTTCTCCATATAATGGACTTCAATGGGAACCGGATGGTTCAAGGTCCAAAAGACAGTTAATAACAGTTTCAGATGCAGCTTCAAATGTCTTTAAACGATATCAGACGATGAATAAGGGTCTTATCATGCGAAACGATCGGTTATTTCAAAGCTTATTCCAAAAATGTATTTTTTCTAAGGACAAATGCTAGCCTAGCTCTATTCTGTGAGGCGCGTTTGTAACGTCACGTAATACGTAATTACGTTCAAAAGGTCACGGGCGACGTAGCCGGAAGTACAGAATCAAAATCGTACGACATCGTTGTTTTACCTTTTAATTCCTTTTTTGTAAACGGCGTTTGAGTTAGTTTTCACGTTCAACCTATGCGTTCAACTTGTAAACACTCTGACTCTGTACTTCTGGCTTAGTCGCCCGTGACCTTTTGAACGTAATTACGTACAACGTGACGTTGCAAACGCGCCTCACAGAATGGAGAAAGGCTACCATTTGTCCTTAGAAAAGTTACATTTTTGGAATAAGCATTGAAATAACCGATCGTTTCGCATGATAAGACCCTTATTCATCGTCTGGTGTCGTTTAAAGACATTTGAAGCTGCATCTGAAACTGTTATTAACACTATCTTTTGGACCTGAACCATCCGGTTCCCATGGAAGTCCATTATATGGAGAAAAATCCTGTAATGTTTTCATCAAAAACCTAAATTTCTTTTCGACTGAGGAAAGAAAGACATGGACATCTTGGATGACATGGGGGTGAGTAAATTATCAGCAAAAGTTTTTTCAAAAGTGAACTAATCCTTTAAAGACAGTAAATCATGTCGTTAATCAAGAACATGTCATTAATCAGGAACATGGGCATTAACAACACTGACAGCTACTCACCTTAATCGGTGTGTAAGAGCATTGTTGGGAAGATTCTCTGATTGAAGCATCACTCATTCTTTAACCGGAGAGCCTGTGGATGCTGCCCTGTGTACCTCTTTGTATCAAGTGACTGTGATGAGACCACAAGGTTACATGCTCTTTAACCTCTTAACCAGCGCCCCTATTTTTGAGAATTTTCTGAAAACGACATACCCAAATACAAATCTTTGTAGCTCTTGAACCCTATGGTCCACATTCATAACTCTGATATTTTTTTAAACTAGACACTTGAAACTTTGTTACCCAAGAGTCATTATAACTCAAAGTAGCATAGGAACAGAGTAAAACAAGGTAAAATATACATGAAATTAATTCACGATTTCTTTGAATAAACTTCATTTAGGGAAAAATGTATCAGAATTTTATGTTAAGGCCTTGAAAACACCATAAAGATAAAACTGAATGTCTGACCATGTTTTGATTCAAATTTGAGGAAGATACTCCCAAAAATGTAGTTCCTGTAAGCTTTTATTCAAGAAAAGTCTAGGCGTCCTTTCCAAAAGGCCACTTGGAGACTCCAAATGGATACCTGGTTACCAAATGACATAAGGAGTAAACACTACATACTACATACATGTTTATCCATTCAGAACTATTCTGCCCATCAAACTACACAAGAAAAAATTATTTCAGCACAACATTTTAACATTTTAACAAAATACTCTTTATTTTGAACATTTATAATAGCAAAAACAGTGAAAAAAAACCTCACTTCATTTATCCAAAAGTGATTGTTTTACTAATGAATAAAATATATATAAAAAGAAAAAAATAACATTTGTAATTGCAACAGTGTTTTTTACTCAAATAAGTTACAATAAACAATTACAATGAATATCCAATTACAAAAACAAAAAGCAACTGCTTACAGTATTTACAAAGTGTAGGAAGACATGTTGATCAAGGCAGTCACCACCAAGGTTTGTTCTGGAAACCAAAGCCACTGAAAGACAGGAGAAATAAAGTGTGTAAGCAGAACAAATAAAATTTGCACAGGAAAACACACACACAAAAGAGGATTTCAGTTTGAGTCACATTCATCTATTAGCAGCATCAATATTCCATCATATTACAATATCAAATGTCACATACCTTATCGTTATAATGCTCAACATTAAAAATGCTTTGTAATTATTATTTTTTCTATGTATAAAATTATATATATATTTACTATATCTTCACCTGACATCTTGTAATCCTTTCCTTCCATTATATTTATATTCATTACACCATTCATTCATATAAACGTATCACTGTTTACGTCTCATATCTTGCTAGTCATCTCCACTGTTATTTTATAATCAACACATCTTCACCTGACTTCTTATAATCCTTTCCTTCCATTATTGTAATATTCAATGCAACATAAATATAATGTGTGTGATAAAAATATTTTTTCTTTATGTATCGTTATAATATAACGTTACAGCTATCACCTGCTCGTGTAGCCTTGTGTCTTTGCTAGTAGCTAATGTCCATCGTCATTTTATAATCAAAAACATTACATGAACAGAAAAACTGCCAATAATAAACATAACAATAAATGACAATGTGTTGAAACTTACCGATCTAAAACGGGATCGAGTCCATGAACAAACATCTCCTCTCGACAGACGCTCGACACCGTGTTCTCAGATGCATCTCTCTGCGTCTTTGCTCTTCGTCGCTGCTTCTCATCACTTCCTCCAAAATACTCTCAACACCACAAAAACGCTTCTGTAGACGATGATCCATGATGGAGATTGTCAAATATAACTTTGGAGAAAATCTATGAGTTGATACGAGCTCCGTGTAGCGAACCAATACATAGCCTATGCGCTCCGTGCGTAAAATGGCGAAAGTGCACGAGCGAATAACAACATTGCGCACTTGTGTTTGACAAATCTGCTTGAGAACTGTCAATCACTGCAATCGTGTTTTAATTGGTCAATACTCCCATCCATCAAAACATTGCCGATTACACATTGGCTGGCTATATCCAGACTTTATCCAGCCAAAAACCAAGATGCGAGATTGACAGGTTTCTAAGCCTGTCAGGCGGTCCCTTGGCATTTTGATCGATTACAGAGCCTGTGATTGAAGGAGAGAGAAGGGGGATGACTCATTTCATCCGGAAGAGTCTAAACTACAGGGGTGAGATGGCTTCTGAGTGTTGGAAAATGGATAAGAATCGATATTTCTTTGAAAATAAACATGACGCGAACTCTATCTCGAAAACGCTCATGCAAACAAAGGAGGATATTTCATTTTTCCCCTATTTTTTCGTTGTTTTGGATTAAAAAGTGGGATGCATTTTGAAGAATGGACCCTTACATTGAAATGTATGCTGTTGTTTCTTGGATTCGTCCGAACTGATCTGAATCATACGAGATGAAAGATGAGTATAGCGGTTCATTTTACTCATTTTCAAATGAGAGGTCCTTTTGCATTTAATTTAACCCTTTCCTCTCTGTTGTATTGATTGCAAAAACAAGTTTAGAACATGATTCTTGAGTGTTTTAGCTTTCAAATGATGCATAGTTTATGATAGTCAGTTGAATATTTGTTATAAAACAAAGCTTAAAAAAGTAATAAAAGTTTAGCCACGCCCTCGACGGCCCGTAATCGGGCCGGTGCTTGATAAGAGGTTAAAAACACTGAGCTCTTGAGAAACAATTTTCAAGCTTTATCTAAAGTCTCAAGGCTTGTAGCTGTTGATAGCAGACTGGAAATGTGTTTGTACAAAGTATTAAAGTCATGTTGAAGTAGCACTACCACAGTAATGTATTCAAGAGACCAGTTTTTTTTTTTTTATATATTTTTTGTGAAGTATGTGGAATGCCCCCAGGTGCTACGATCTGACTTTGAAAAAAACTAAAACATCCGATCCACTTTCAACAGCATTTCTCAGAAAATCTCTTACTGCATCTTTAATGTGATAGAAAAATAAAGAAATAGATAAATAACTTTCCATTGTTTGTGGAATATAACCATAATAATTGGACATTAACCCTCAGGGGCTCTTCGGTCATTTCTGACCGAAGCATTTTCTGTTTCTAAAAATCACAGCTTCATCGGAATGTTATGAAACTTGCTGAATTTTATGGCATTATGTATGTGAATACAAAAAAAAAAAAAAAAAAAAAAAAAAAAATTGAGGTCATGATCAGAGCATGCTAAGTGGTCGTAAAAAAAAAATAGACACACTTGTGGCTTTCAAACTTTTTTGAAAAAAATAATATATATATATATATATATATATATATATATATATATATATATATATATATATATATATTTTCCATGGCAAAAATAGACCATACATATTGCATACATATTAATAAAGTCAATCACATTATCTCAAAATACTAAATTACAAAGAATAAATATTATAGAACAAAAATAAATTGCATTGGTTTTACTGGGATGGATGAAATTTAATTTTTAGGTGTCCGGTCACTTTTGACCGGGAAGATAACAAGTGTGACTCCGAAACGAAGAGCACCTGAGGGTTAATGACAATGTTGATTCGATTAATTAGCAGAAGTTATTACTCCACCAGCTGCATGTGAAGTCATGATGACAGTCCTATTGTTGAACCAACCATACTGTGGTTTCAGGAAACAATAACAACTAACTAGTTAATTCTCCAATGATGCATTGTAGGTAGTTAAGTAGCAAATTAAATCATTGTACACTCAAAAACATTTGCCGCTTTTTCAGTTTACTTCAGCCTGGTTCACATGGCAGTATTATTAGGCCGATTTTAGCCCCAATTGATCCCTTCCGACAATCTTAAGGATGCTCTGATTTTCGTAAATGGAAGGTGCTATGGAATAAGCTCGGAAGGATGCCGAGACCGCTCCGATCTCAAATCGGGGATGTCCAACATGTTGGATTTTTTGGCCAGATTTCTCCTCATGTGTGGTGTCCCCTGGGGACGAAAGAGCATGCAGCCTGTGAACTGTGGCGTGTAGCCAATCAGAAAGCGAGGTGACGAGGGGCAGAGGAAGCACCGGTGGGAAACAAAATCAAAACAGCTGGCGCCCGGCGGTATGGCGCACCAGAAAGTCCGGTGGACGTTTTTTTTTTTTGGAAAAAACAAACTACACACTATCGCCACTGCATCCTCTTTGTCTGCCATGATTGTTCACTCTGAAGTTACGTTTGATCTCGAGGGATTTTGCGAGATATTCCGTCTGACCTGGGAATGCTCGGGAGTCAAATCGGTTCGTGTGTGATGTTTGATTTTGCCGTGTGGCTGCGCACCACACACTGTACGACCAAAACTGTTAGACCCGTGATTTTTTATCGATGTGTGTGGGGTCTCTCAGGTTTGGAAAATCGGCTGACAATTTTAAAATCGTCCTGTGTCCTGTGTGAACCAGCCTTTAAATAAAATAAATTAATTCAGCAAAGGTATTTATTCATCTAATTTACTTGATCCATTTGAGTTGAGACTACATGAATCATTTGTGTTCAAGTAGCATAAACTAGAATATTATTTGTAGTTCCCATCATTCTTTGCACTTTGAAATAATGTTATTATTATTATTTCTTTTTTTTTTAGCAAGATGAGAAAATGTGAATTGTCCATGTGTACTATTCAATTATGTTGGTATTTAAAAGAGTTTCTATTGTCATCATTTTAGGTTACATTTGTGATGGAGTGAAGAGCATGGGCTTGGGTTGATGTAATGATGAATTTAGAAAAGTTACATTCAGCTTGCTAGTATGGAAACATGTCCAAATAAGTTGTACATTCAGTCTATTCAGTTAAGTTCATCATATATGAAGTATTTGATTAGAGATAACACGCCTTCATTGTGTGGAATCATAGTCCATGATTGAAGTCCAGTCAAAGAGTGTATGGGAAACAAAACCCTCAGTAGCCCCCCTCATCCCAGGACCCGGGACAATACGCATTGAAATGTTCCATGGTGAAGCCTGATAGAACTTTGATTAAAGTGCTGTGCTAGAGCCTGGTAATGACTTAAAATCGAGATCAGACTCTGGAAACCCCCTACTTCAATATTTTGTTCAGAGTTTAACAGCATTGCACGCTGGCCAAATTGAACAGGCTGAAGCCTGCCATGATGGGTCTCCAAAGAAGCCTTGTTTTATTCTGGGATTAGCTTAGTGTTTTCACCCATGGACACAGCCAACCATGCTTTGTTTGTTGGTGCATTGTATCTTGCAGATGGAAAGGGGAATCTGGACTAGCTAAATATAAGGTCCTTGCACAGAAATGACCAGGAACCATCAAGTTAAGATTTTCTTTGCTGTCGTTGAGGTTCAATGAAATGTGACACCAAAGTTGCCTCTTTGTTTTCAGAAAGCCTTGGCTAACAGTGATTGGCCTAAGCCTCTGGAAAGGAAAAGGATCCGTGTTTTTCTTCATTAGTGCCAACCATGATTTGACTAATTCTGTTTGCTCTCCTGTCGAGTGGAAGGTGAACTGAAGCAGCTGGGCACAAGCTTTTCATGATTCTGAATTTTCTGTTCCATAAGACAGATGTGCATGCTAACAACGCTGGCATGCAGTCACATACATCATTTGGCTCACTGAAATTATTCAAGTTCAACATTGCAAAAAAGTATTATTCATTTTGATTGCAGATGAGCTCTCCACCTTGATCTGAGAGCAGCTTGAACAGGCAGAGAGGATATAACCTAGTTAGCCAAAATCTAGTGAGCTACCTGGTTGCCTATACTGCCCATATAGGGAACTAGCATCCTAAAGGCCCAGTCACAAAAAAGAACGATAACTATGACAAGCTGTGTCTTTTTTCAAAGGCTGCATCCTTTGGAGGTCACATTTGTTGGCCGTATACATCATGAAGGATATCTTATTTCAAAACAGTATCCATTATAAAATTGACCATTATTCCTAGTGAAGCATACAGTTTTGTAATTTAATGAATTTGGAGTGTAGTGGTGAGTTAACTGAAAGCAGCCTCAATGACACAGCTAATAACTAATAGATAAGATACAATGAGAGATAAGAAAAGATAAGATTGGTAGGTGGGTTGCACGATGGGCAGAGTGTAATTTAGTAAATATAGATAATTATGTTAGCATCCACACCTTAGATGATAATGGTGTTTATTTTAAGTGTGTCACAGGTGGTTGCTGGTCACCATTCACAAAAAGATCCCCATTCACACGGATCTGCGGAAAAGACTAAAAACCCTGTCTGCTGCCGGGCCATTAGATGGCTATAAAACACGTTATACCAGACTGGGGTGGGTTTCCGGAAAGCATCGTTAGCCAACTATGGTCGCAAGTTGGTCACAATTTCCATTGAACTCTATTGGTAACAACGGAACTTGCGACCATAGTTGGCTAACGATGCTTTCGGGAAACGCACCCCAGGTCTCATTGTTAATATATAGGTATTTATACGTTATTTTCAAAGAATGAAAACGGAATTTTTATGTACATATACATAAATATTGGATAGATGCTGAAACGTATAATATGGACGTATCTGCAACATTTAAACGTAACATTATTACGATTTTACAGCAACAAAACGTTAACTATTTGCGTATATTCTATATCACAAAGATATCTGTATAATTTCCCTTTTACTATTTTATAGATAAATGTAAGATCCCATAAACCTAACCCCAAACCTAAACACCCATTTTATACGGAATATAAAAAGGATAAAACAACGAAAAAACGCTAAAACGAAATGTTTTGGGAAATGGCAGTTTTATAAACAATAGCATTAAAATATATTTTTAAGCCACCAATCATACTCCTACCCCGAAACCTACCAATAACAATTCCTTAAAACTACGTAAACTAAATTACAATTATTAAGAAAAAATATAACTGACAGACAAGTGTAATCACAATAATGTATTTATTGCGAAAATGTCAAAACCGGTAACGAAATCCATTCATATGATGATGTGTTGCTGTCGCAGTCCTCTCTGGTGGTATTATAATAGTTTTGTATGAGGTAGAGATCAGAATTTAAATTAATAATCCATGAAAATGTTAATCC